CATTGTTGACCCTGCCCGTACGAATGTCGGTGACGCTTTAACTGTGCCACTTGAGCTTGCTGGAACGGCGATCCGTATTACTGCGGCAGACGCCCATTGGCAACTTGGAAAAACAGAAGTGCATGGTGGCTGGTTTAGCAGGGTTCTAGAAAAGGTTCTGTTGGATGTGTCGCCCAAAGATCACTCAGAATGGATGGAATGTGTTCACGCAGCCCACTGCAAGAATCAACTCATTCAGGTTTATGGCATGACACCGTCTCAATTTGTCTTTGGTCAAAATCCCAGGGTTCCTGAGAACTTACTTGATGAGCCAGTCGAAGTGGTGCCTGCCACAGCCTCACTGTACAGTGCGCGAATTGCACGTCAAGTTGCAATCCGTCAGTCTGCACGGAAGTCGCTGATTGAACTCCAGGACAATCGGGCCTTGAGACTTGCATTAGCCGCCCGGCCACGAACCATCACCACGTATCAGCCTGGTACGTATGTTGCCTACTGGAGAAGCCAAAAGTGGAACAAAGGTGTCTTAGAGAATAAAGGGCGTTGGCATGGGCCAGCCGTTGTTCTTGGTGCAGTGGGTCGAAACGTGGTGATCGTTCACAAACGTCAAATCTTGAGATGTGCTCCAGAGCAAGTGAGGCCATCCACACCGGATGAGATGCAGCTGGTTGACACTCCACAAATGGAACTATTGGGGATTAAACACCTAATAGAGCGGGGGATGTTAGATAGTAGACAGTACATAGACCTTGTTCCTGAAGAATATCCATCCGCCAGTGGTGATGCACCAGAACCACTGCCTCCTGCTGAGAACTCTCAAGCGGCCAGGGAACTGCAAGACTCTCAGAATCAACCGGCACCCGAGGGTATTTTCAGTGATGTAGAGTCCCCTCCAAGTGCACCTGTGGAAGACACCGAGATGCCTGAAGCCCCTGCTGACGAAAACGTCAGGGTAGTTCCGCCGACGGAACCTGAGTTGGAATCTCATGCTGCTCCAGGTGATGGCACAAACACATATGGACCCTTGCGTAGGAAGGTGCTAGGTAAGTCAGGTCCCCAAGCCTTATACCGTCCTGCCAAGTTGAAAGAGGATGATTTTGCTGAAATCATGCGTGAAATTGTGCCTGATTTGATTGAGCAGACTTTGGCATCGGAGTCATCCCAGTCAGCACAGTTGTCAGAGACTGAGAGGAGCTCCAGTGTGAAGCGCGCCTTATCGCCTTCGGAAGTGCCTCCATCAGTGAACCCTAAGAGTCAACGATTACAGTAGATGAACCAGATCATGCACTGTGTGTTCAGCAGCAATCCAATGGGGGAGTCACGTTCGCATGCGATGAGGTCGAAGTCTTGTCTGTGGCTGTGACGTCACAACATGCCGATCTGCCGTCCGATCGTTTGGAAGATCATGAAAAGGCAGAGCTCCGTGACCTTGTAGATGCCGGAGCTACTCATGAGCAATTGGTAGCAAGTTACTTTCAGAAGAAAGCCTCCAAAGAAGTTAAGGGTACGGGTAATGAGGTAGAGTTGCAGCGTAAGATAGATGAAGCCAAATTACTCGAATGGAATACCATCCTTAGCAAGAATGCAGCCAGGTTAGTCCTAGGTCCTGAAGCCCTTGATGTTCGCTCCAAACTTGCTCACCGTATCATGGGTAGCCGATATGTCATCACCGTGAAACAAGAAGACGATGCACCGGCTCGAATCAAGGCACGTTGGTGCTTGCAGGGACATTTGGATCCTGATTTACATGCCAAGGCTCAACATGGTGATCTTCAGAGTCCTACCATTTCACAAATTGGTCGGAATTTGTTATTCCAGTTGATAGCCTCCCACAAATGGTCGTTGAAACTTGGTGACATTCGTGGTGCGTTCTTGTCTGCAGGTCAGTTGCCTAAACAATATCGACCACTGTATGCCTCCTTGCCTGCTGGGGGAATTCCGGGCGTGCCAGATGACGCCCTGATTGAAATAACTGGACATGTTTATGGACTCAATGATTCGCCATCAGCTTGGTATCGTAAGTTGGATAGTGAACTTCATGCTGCCGGTTTCGAACGTTCCAAGATTGATAGCTGCATCTATTACATGCGTGAAGATGGTAAGCTGTCAGGTGTCTATGGGATACATGTTGATGACTGTGCAACAGGGGGTTATGGAAAGAAATACGAAGATGCTTTGAACTACCTCAAACAAAAATTTGAGTTCAGAAAGTGGCGTAACCATGATGGAGATTTCTGTGGAGCACGGTATGTTCAGGACCCTGTTTCTAAAGTCATTTCCATGTCACAGCAAGCTTTCGCTCAGAAACTGAGACCATTGCACTTTTCAAGAGAACGCATGTCCAAGAGAGATGAACCGTTGAATCCAAAAGAAGTTGCGTGTTTACGTGCGATCAATGGAAGCTTGAACTGGCTGTGCACTCAGTCACGCCCAGACTTATCTGCTCAAGTGTCCTTTTCACAACAATCTTTTCCTGAACCAAAGGTTCAAGATGCTCTGAATGTGAACAATGCAGTTCGTCGCGCCAAGCAGCATTCCGATCAGAACATTGTGTTTTCAGTGATTCCTCCGGAAGAACTTTGTGTAATGATGCACTCAGATGCAGCGTTCGGAAATGCCCGTGCTGGAGCGACGCAAGCTGGATATGTGGTGAGCCTGACCAGTAAGGCCATCAATGTTGGAAAAGAATGTGCGTGGACACCGGTCTTCTGGCGTAGTTTTAAACTGCCGAGAGTAGTGAGTTCGACTTTGAGTGCCGAAGCTCAAAGCATGTCGGTAGCTTCAAGCATGTGTGAATGGACCATGCTGTTGTTGAGTGAAGCACTTGATGGTTTTCGTTGTCCTCATTCCTTTTGGCATAGCACAGGTAGAGAAGCCGTCCTGGTAACGGATTGTAAGTCTCTTTATGATCATTTGCAGTCCCCCTCAACTCCTGCCTTGGATGACAGAAGAACTTCAATTGACATCATAATCATTAAGGATAGTATCCGTAGGTTAGGTGCTCAACTGAGATGGATTCCTACCAATCGTATGCTAGCTGATGCCATGACAAAGGAAAGTCCCGAAGCGTTTGACCTGCTCCGGGCTTGCATCCGAGTCATGCGATACCAGATCAGCCCCGAAGAAAGTGTCCTGAAATGGCGAGCAAAAGAGAGAGAGCGTCGGAAGCAGTTTGCAACCAGAGCTGTGTGCTCAACCACCTCCCATGTCGATCAGCCTCTCAGTAGTCATGGGGACTGAAGCAGAGTCATAGGTATCAACATGAAGTATAGTGTTTATGCATGTTGCAATGTAACCTTGGTGACCGGTCCTGTTTAGCATTCCTTGCAGATACTCAGCCTTTTTCTACCGAGTATCAAGGGTGGCACTATCTCGCATCGTTGTTGTGTTCCGTATTTTTCGATGGCTGAAGCACCGTTGTCTCCAGCCCAGTCTGATGCTTGGGATGTGGTGAAAGATGATTGGTCTTCCTTGGATCAGTCTCAAGCTGTCATGCTGGTGACGAAGGCTCGTCGCCTTGGTCTCATGGATCAAGTGATGCTGGCGGTTTGTGAAGAAGAGCGCTTGTGTGCCCAGCTGCAGCACACGCCTGGGTCTATGAATGATTCGTCAAAGCGCCTTCGTGAAGCCACAGTGATTACCAACCTAGCCAGTGATGGTCGTGCTGGATATGGATCTCTCACGTATGCTCCTCCTCCGTGTAGCTCTTACAATGTGCCTCCTCCTTTGCCGAAGTTGTCTGGCTCTGAGGGTGCGAACCTTGCCGGTGATATCGCGCTCCCGGAGGGAGTCACCAGTATGTCAGATTGGGCATGCACTGTGGTGTCCTTTGGAAAGTACAAAGGCAAGAAGAGCTATGTTGAGATCCTCACTGATGAATCCGAAGATATGGTAGGCTACAAGAAGTACCTCTATGATCATTTCTCCCATGGCTCTCCGCAGTTGCGGGATCTCACAGCCTATTTGAAGGCATGTGGCTATGGGGTGAAGAAGATTCAACAGCCGGTGATTCCAGGCACCACCATCATCCGTGAGTTCAAGCGCTGATTTGGAGAAAAGGGAAGCCAGCCATCAAAAGAATTTTTGAAACGAAGATAGAAGGAATGTTGATGTGACCACGCCAGGGACATTTATGCCCGAGATCAAAAGGGTGCGCATAGGGATGCGCAACTGCTGCTCCGAGGTTTGCTACCAACATATATATACAGTATATACATATGATATGCAGCATATACATTATATTACCAACCATCCAATTTGGGGTACTTTATTTTCAAACAAACCCAATCATTGGCAGCCAAATCTCTGGGGAACGCTACCCATTTCAGTCAGCCGAACCCCCAGTCGACCAGTGCTTGAAGCTATGGTTGGATGTGCTCAAACAGAAAATGTGACCATCGATTCACGCAATACCCATGCAAAACGATGTACGCGTATGTGCACATATTGTGTATATATATATAAACTATACATTACATTGCATTACATTACGTTATGTTACGTTACGTTACATTACACACGTACATACACAGATACAATCACAAAATAAATATACACACCTATTCATGCTACACTACACATACACGTATATGCACACTATAGGAGTTGCACAGTCTATTGTTTTGGAGCATCACCCATCTATTGTTTCAAGCGAAATCCGGTCCATGCAAAATCCTTGTCGTCGTCATCATCATCATCATCATCATCATCAGCAGCACCACGGCTCGACGTAAGTTTGGGTTCGATGATCTTCTTACTCAAAGTTGCCAAATTTTGGGTCACAGCGTAACTTTCTGGCTTGAAATGACTTGCAGGAATGTCCCCACCATCAGGGGTTCATTCCGGTTAGCGACTGGACAAAAGACTTAGCAACAATTGGATCGCCCCATTTGGGTCACTTCCCAACCAGCATGGAACCACCTACATACATCCTTTTCTAATTCTGGTTGTTTCTTTCACTGCAAAAAAAAAAAGTCGTTGGGGCACCACCACCAGCGCGGCACCTTCCACCAGCTTGGCATCCCTGGTGCTGATGCGGCGCTGGGTCACCGGAGGCGCTGGCGGTTCCATGTTCACCGGCGAAGGGGCGGACACCACCATCACCTTCACGGGAGATGGGGAGGTGGCTGTGCTGTGATTTCTTTCTGTTGTTTTCTTTTGGTGCGTCCAAAAGCAAATATGTGTTTGGTAGAAAAATCAAGGAGATCACCATCAACATAAGGTTCCGGTGTCCAAGTGTCTAAGAGAAACAGGAAGTTGTTCAACGAAAATGAAGGTTTGAGCTATCGAAAAATTAGGAATTCGCATGCCTTTTATGAGCAGACACAGGACCCCACAAAATGAGCCAGGATCATCCTTGACGCTTCGGCAAGGGCACCTCTCTGTCGTCCAAATCCTCAGCGAAGGGTGTCCATCTCAGGTGGGCCCAAAAAGGTACTGAAAAGTGGCTCTAACAGTCCAAGAGGATTGTGATCTTTGACTACGGCCCAGCTTTGACTAAGTGCCCCAGAATTGTGTCCCGAATGCGAATGGTGTCAAAAATCCGGAACCCTCCAAAATCAACACAAAAATCCAAAGTCACAAAGGACTTTCAATAGAAACCAATCTGGTCGGTGGCTTCAACTCCACATCAGCCAACATTGCTAGTTCATTCATAATCCCAGGTATGCATAGAAAGTGCAACAAATACCAAGTTTGTCCAGAAATAGAATACTCCAATATCCAGCAGCTTTCTCATCCCCTATAACTGGCGTGAAATCCACCATTTTTGGCGGTGAATCCCATGGGTTTTTTGCCACCAGCCGAGCGCTTCGCTGGTCGAGACACCATGCTCATGGCGCTCTCCAAGGTCACCAACTTGGGCGTCTTTGGAGTCTTGCCATCCTCGACAAGCCGTCAGCAACCCCAGAATAGGAAAGATAGGATGGTTACCCTCCAGTAAATTAACATAGACCCTGGTAGTTGTTGGGGTTGGAAGATTTGTGAAACCTCTAAAAATTGGTGATAAAATCAGGGTCAACATGTTAATTTACCAGAGGGTAAAACATGTGAATGCTATTTTCAATAGCAAGCCCCCATGCCCAATTTATGTCATTGAAGATTCTCGACTCACACTCGGACCAAAAAGGATGCAAAAAGGATCAACAAATCATGTGTCCAGCACCAGCAACGACCAGCTCCCCCGCCACCTTCGCGCAAGGAGAAGGGCTTGGCGTTGCCCCCTTGGGTGTCTCCATTTTGCTCGGTGTCATCTCCCGCCTTGGACCCAACGGCTCCATCAACATCACCATCTCTGCCCAATCTGCAAAAAAAACATGTACACAAACAAAACATATCAAAAGATGTACAGGAATGTACACTTACCGTCACTTGCAGGTCATACATAATATATTTACAGTCATGTTTTTCAGCACATCAGAACTGTTTGTTTGGCGAACTGATCTGCAGCCAGCAGACCCTACAGCCGAAGCATCTGCATCAGCTGACAGCGACAGTGGCTCGAAACGTTGGAGATGGCAGTGGTGCATGTACCTCAGCTGATACGGGTATGAATCAAAATATATAATATAAATATCAAAATCTAAGATACCAATAGATACCATGTTTGTGCTGATGAAGCATTTACCCATTTGCTAATTTGGTATTATCAGGGTAGAGTAGCAGAATTTTGGACCATAACAACCATATGAAAAATGTTGAGAAGTTACAGATTTGAGAGGAAAGACCGCCATTTTGTAGATGGAAAAGACCCAGTTCCTGTCCACCTTTGCAACGAGTTCGTAAACCTTCGTGTTGCGGGGATCATATTTTACGTACAACTGCGAGTTGGATGACGGTTGAGAACACGAGTGGTAAAATGAATAGTTGGCTTCCAATGAATGTCCAATGGGCAAAGATATGATCCCAGTAAGAACAGCAACTCCTGCAAAGGGTTGGTAAGAATGTTGCGCAGCAATCAACGGGTATGTAGTGGGATGAAGTACCACCACTTACTGGTTTCATAAGTCGTTGCAGTGAATCATTGAATTACCTCTTCCAGCAACAGGGACCGCCGAAGGAGGCAAATGTTCATCCAACGATTCTGCTTATTTTTCAACCTATTGTGTATATACAAAAATCCTGTCAAGAAGGGTCAGTGTGCCCAGCCCAAAGATGCGTTAGTATCAACCCCCCTTTGACCACTACGATGCATGAGCTTTTTTGCTAAGCCACTGGTCCGCCTCACTCACAATCGCAAAGGGTTTTCTGTCCTGATGGGCTTCAAACAAAGTGAAAACAACATCGTCTGGTGGTCGAACACAGGAATCAAAAATCTATACATAGGAGTTGACACCCAGCTGAGCAGTTTCCCAGCTCGCTCCTGCGCTTGATGCGGTTGAAAGCCCACAATGTCCAGATAGATGTCTTGTCGGGCGAAGACATCTGGTTGATTGCCTGGACTTCAGCAGAATCATCCGAATTGCAAGATGCATCATGTATCTATCATATCTCGGTGTCATGATGATCAAGATATATCAAGAGTATTGCTGCTGTGACATGGAGGTCGCATGCTTCTCATAGGTGTCCTGACCCATGTCCAACATAAAGCCTAATCTTGTTGGTTTCACCCCATTTTGTGCAGGTTAAACCCATCGTAACTCGGGCTAGACGGCTAGATTTTGCGTTGAAAATCCGGCATTTTTTTGGTTCCGGCCCTCCCGAGGAACGGGAACCAGGGCCTCCTCCCTTGGGCGACAGACTTCCAGCCATGCTCCCAGCCCAGGTTTTCATCCGACCAAACCTGGGCCTTTGGCTCCTCAGCTGTGGCTCAACCAAGGCCGTAGCTGGGGATAACTCGAAAGAATAGAAGTAAATGGTAAATAAATTAATTTCAACACCGGTTGATGAAAATTCACCAGAATTCCTAGCTTGGGTGATCATCCCCAGTTGACATGTCCCCAATTTTAGTACAATTCCTGGGTCATCCCATCACCAAGGATGAGTGGATGATGAGTTTTGGGACAGGTGCCTTCATCAAAAATGCCACGGGACAGGTGCCTCAAGAGATAGTCAGTAGTTTGGCGGAAAAACAACGTTGCGCTAATTCCCTTAACACTTGTCTTAGAAATGCCAGCGTCAAAAGCGTGGTATATGAGTTCTGGCCATCTCCCTATCATTAGGAATTCCTTACAATAGGTATATTGAATTCTATGAATGGATTGACCATCCCCCAACATGGGAAAATAGACCATGTTTTGGATGTTTTGACCATGGAACATATTTTTTTTTTTGTCACTTGAAGGTATCCACTCCACCTGAGCTCCCCCAACTCGGAGGGCTGCGAGTGCGGTCGCGGGCGATCCGGAGTGCCGGACCTGTGGCCCAGTCACTGCAGGAAATTCAGCACAGTTTCCAGTGAAGCACCTGGCAGCACCTGGCAGCCTGGCAGCACCTGGGATATATCTCCTAAGCACAGCAAACAACGGTGAACATCTTTGGTGGGTCAGCCCGTGCCTCAAGTTGTATCCACATTTGGGGCAGATCATTCGGGATGGAGGCTCATCGAAGGCAAATCTCCTGGAGTGGGCCACAGGAAGACTGGCCACACGTTGTATTTACTTGTTTATTGATGCTATTCATTGATTTAATTGGCTAGTTAGTTAATTAGTTAGTCAGTCAATTAGTGAGTTAGCTAGTTAGTTTGCTAGTTTGCTAGCTTGCTAGTTAGCTAGCTGGCTAGCTAGCTAGTTAGTTAGCCCGTTTCTGGTTACAAGTTGTATACTAGTTGCTAATTACAAAATGCAATGATTGTCTTGGGTTGTTGAGCTACTGCCAACTTGATGCAAGCCCTCTGTTCGAACCTCCCCACGGCTGGCCTGATATCGATCAAGCCGTTTTGTACCAAGGCAGTCACTTGTTCTTTGGTCAAAGGCGGCCCATCATAGATGCCCAAAATACGTTCCTCAGTTGGTCAAGAACTGGCATCTGGGTCAACCAAGGCGGTTTCGATGTATAGAAATCATTGGAGATCCAAATAGGGTGGAAACATGACATGTTGAGAAACTGCCAACCAGCTTGTTCCTGGCTTGGTCCATTCCGAAGAACGCTGCGGGATTCCATGCCGGATACCCAAAAGGTTCAAGTGTTCCGCGGGATCAAGTTGACCTCTGAATCTATATCTGTCTTTTACCAGAACTGCACATCCACCCCAGGGACTTGAACAGACCCCAGGGCTTTAGAAGAAAGATCTGTGAACTTCTCAAAGCTTTTGTTGGACTCTCCCAGATGGAAACAGGAGGAACCTTCTGCTGCCATGGGTCCCAGGTTTCTTGCTGGGCATTTTTCATGTCAATGACCCATTTCTCCTGAGAAGCCAGCGCGGCGTAGCATACTCTGCCATCAGATGTTGGGAAGCTCGCTTGGGAGTGGGTCAACAAAACCTCCTCTCGGTCTGTCCCCGAACTCGCTATGATCTCAATTTTGGTTTACCTTTTCACTCGACGGAAATCCTGAGGACGCATTTTTTGGTTCAGTTGCTGATGTCAGAGGGGGACTTGTTTTCAATTTCTTCATGGAAAGAATTGCTCACTTGTTGCCTCATACCCTTCCCTGGTCACAAATTTGAAGGTGATGGCACTACTTCTGATGGTCCCCGAGTCCCCAAAGTGGTTCCTGCCAACGTCCTGAGAATGGACTAGGTTTGCTACCATCTACCCGGATCTACCCATTGAATCCATGGCTTGTGGAAAAACATCGCTGCAGTCAGTGCAGTCCCATCGCCTGGAAACGGTTGAAGCGGCGCACTGCATCTTGGTAGAGGCGGTCGAAGACATTCATGGGATGTGAAGGCATACCTGCGCCCGAGAAACCCGATGCGCAGGGATGTGCCACAATCAAGGGTGAAAAGTGCCACAATCACCATTTGGTCGGTGGGGAAAACTCCCCAGTTTGGGGACATGCGAACCAGAGTCATTCACCAGTTCCTCTTTGGGAAGAACGTCGAAGTGGCAAGACATGTTGGTTTTCGGAGGGTGAATCGGGGAATCCAACAATTCCGTATCAGCTCTAAAAATAGGCCATGCCAAAACATGGGGATTCCGTATAATCATAATCTATCCCCTAATGCCCAATGGCGATGTTTATCAGTGTGCCCCATTTTCAGACACACACCCATCGATCTGGCCAACTGTTGGCCTACTTCCAGTAGCGCTTCGTCCAAAAGACCTCAGCTGTCTGCGAGATGGACCAATGTCGAAGTCCATCCTCCAAAAGAATCATCCCCTCAACAGTTTGGAATTCCGAACTAAACCAATCCAGTACTCAACCAGGGTTTCTGGGTGGTGTGAATATTGGGGGATTGGGGGATTCACCTGCCGACAGCTGGGAAATTGTTTGCTACATGGATGGGAACATAACACATCAAATATGAAGGAAGGGAATGTTATTTTGCAGTGAGATTCATGGTAGAAAATTATATGTTGCCATCTAACCATCATACTCCACTTCTCAAAGATTTTGGCCAAGCCATGTGCCTTTGCCATAACTGCAAGCCATGGGCTGACATCGACACCCTTCTCCTGCAACTTCTTCTTGAACTCCTTGGAGGACTCTGCCAAATGTCAATCTGTGACACCCCAAATGTGGCTTCCCTTCACCATTGTTGGATGCCGATACCCATTGTTTGTTGGATTATATACAACTATAAACACCCGATATCTGGAATATATATATATATACATATACACATACATATACACACATAATAGAATATATATATATATTCTGTATACGGTTACATTACATATTCATATATATATATATTTGTAATCTTATGTGTATATAATTGTATAGGTATATATATAAATATATATGTTATAATGTACATATGCATTGTGATTTTTCTCCACTGGCAATAAGAACTTGGCCGTGGCACCTCGAACTTGCGTTTCAGCTCGTCCATGGCCTTCAGTAGGTATGAGTAAAACGAGCATGGATATACAGTGTGTACAAGTCATAGCGCCATATTTAAGCAACCAAAATGGGGATGTTATCAACCAAGAGTGGATTCTAAGCCATTCTAAGCCTCAAAAATTGGGATTCAACACAACAAATTAAACAGATCAAAAGGAGGATTTTGTGTGAAGGAAATTCAGGGTTGACCCGAAAAAGAATGGGGAAGCTTGCCAGAGAAAGAAATCGGGGAACTCACCCGCAAAAGAATGGATAAATCTCAAAATACTTGAGCCATGAAAAATACCTCTATCCCATCTCATTATACTAGTTGGTTGATAGGTTTCCCTACTATGGGCTATCATAATCCCCAGTAAACCAGGTAGTATAATCCCCTATAGCAATCAATCAACCAGGATATTTTTTAATGGCTCACTTGGACAATATGTAATGAAATCCAGCATCATCAATGATTTCTACTGAATTTACAACATATTTGCCTCATGTTTGGCAACTTCCACCCATCATCAAACCCATTGGCCACGGCCTGCTCCAGCGCTTTCCGCATGATCTTGGCTTCGTCCAAGGCATCTCGTAACTGTTTGTTCTCCTGGGGCTGGAAATCCTCGAGAACCTCCATTGGTACTATCCACTAAAATGGACGAGTTTCCAACTTAAAGGCATGCAGTATGTATGTATGTATGTATGTATGCATGCATGCATGCATGCATGCATGCATGCATGCATGCATGCATGCATGCATGGTACGTATGTATGCATGCATGCATGCATGCATGGATGTATGTACGTACGTACGTATGTATGCATGCATGCATGTATGTATGTACGTACGTATGTATGCATGCATGCATGTATGTATGTATGCATGTATGTATGCATGCATGCATGTATGTATGTATGTAGGTATGTATGTATGTAGGTGGGTAGGTAGGTAGGTAGGTAGGTAGGTCGGTCGGTAGGTTGGTAGGTGGGTGGGTGGGTGGTAGGTAGGTAGGTAGGTAGGTATATGTGTGTGTGTATGTGTCTATGTGTCTATGCGTGTATGTCTGTCTGTCTGTCGGTCGGTCGGTCGGTCGGTGGGTCAATCAGTCGGTCGGTCGGTCGGTAGGTAGGTACGTAAGGTACGTAAGGTATGTATATGTAAGGTATGTAAGGCATGTAAGGTATGTAAGGCATGTAAGGCATGTAAGGCATGTAAGGCATGCAAGGTATGTAAGGTCTGTAAGGTCTGTAAGGTCTGTAAGGTCTGTAAGGTCTGTAAGGTCTGTAAGGTCTGTAAGGTCTGTAAGGTCTGTAAGGTCTGTAAGGTATGTAAGGTATGTAAGGTATGTAAGGTATGTAACGTATGTAAGGTATGTAAGGTGTGTAAGGTGTGTAAGGTGTGTAAGGTATGTAGCTATGTAGCTATGTAGCTATGTAGCTATGCAGGCAGGCAGGCAGGCAGGTAGGCAGGTAGGCAGGTAGGCAGGTAGGCAGGTAGGCATGTAGGCATGTAGGCATGTATGGATGTATGTATGTATGTTATGTTATGTTGTGTTATGTTATGTTATGGTACGTTATGTTATGGTATGTTATGGTATCTTATGATATGTTATGGCATGATATGGTATGTTATGGTATGTTATGGTATGTTATGGTATGTTATGTTATGGTATGTTATGGTATGTTATGGTATGTTATGTTATGGTATGTATGTGTATATATATAATATATAATATCTCTGTGTGTGTGTGTGTTGAGAATTGTTGAATTTTTGTCTTTTCCAATGTCATGCTGCCATGCTTGATTACTAGGCTAAACATCACATACACGGCTTTAGATTTGCAGTTTGCCAGGTCCATCATCTTCACTTATATAGTCACACATGTCAAGGGCTGCATGATTTCCAGCCCAAATCTCAGTTTCGTCCCTTTGTGGCAGGAGCCCTGTGGTCTTCCTGCTTCAGATTTTCGTTCTCATCTTTGGTTCTTTTCAGCTTATCCCTCAGCGCCAAAGCCAAGCCAATGACCGCAGCGATGTGGCCATCCTTTACCGGTGTAATGACACGACCATAGACTAAAGCATCCGAATGGCCATGGCTCAAAAACAAGGTAAAACAAAACAGCAGAAGTGTCCATGTGTAGTCGAAAGTCAACATTACACCATCCAATCCAACTCTGGGGTTTTATAAAGTCTCAAGATGTTTTGAACCATTCCCAAAATCACAAATCATTGAGCTATACTGCAATCCTTCAAAGCCAAGCATTTTTGCCGGGTGGCTGGAGTTGTCGATCCTCCTCTGAGCTCGGTCCTGCAGCCACACTCCAAATAGGTTTTGGGTAAAGTGGGTGGATAAAGAGGTAAAATGATCTACCTGGGTTCGAGCAACCCTATATAACCAGTGAAAACAAAATTGAATTTAAATGATCTAACTATTGCGGGTTCGAGCAACCTTATATAACCAGTGAAAGCCAGCGACATGTGGGGACAAGCCATATGTATTTATATATATATATATATTATTATTATATTATATTATATTATATTATATTATATTATATATATACATGTAAATAAAATTAAACAAATATTAATGTAACCCACACACTTGACCCCTGGGCAAAAGCAAACAGCCATCACGGCCAGTCTTTCGACCGGAACCTTCACACTGGAGCGACCTTGGACGGGTTCAAAATGGAGCAGCTGGCGATTTTATGCGCTGACGGTATCTGGGCTCTCCCAACGCCTCTCATCATCAAGCTCCTGGCGGGTACCCAAGAATCAGCGACTTCCCGAAACAGATCATCGTGATCAATTTTTTTGTGCACTTGAGGGCTTCCCAACTTCAGATCTTCATACAGGAAAAAAATGATGTTCGGTTTCTACTAGCCATCATATTTCAGAGATTTGTAAATTTCTTCTTGATCAGAATATAGCAACCCCAGCAAAGACAGAAAAAATAGAATCTTTCGGAAATGTTCATGATAAATATCCAATATCCAATATCAATCATATTGGCTATCTCTGATTGGGGATTGCTAAAACCAACATTTCAATTCTTTGGAGATCCCAGGTATCACATCCATGGCCCGATCCTGGCCGGTCCTTTTTGGCATCGTCCAGCTGCTTGCGCATCTGCTCCATCTGGGCCATCAGATCTGTCGATTGCCTCCTGGGGAAACCGCATATGGCTGTGGGGATCCCAATAGCTGGATGGTTTATATTTCAAAATCCCAAAATAAAATGGATGATTTACGGAAACCTCCATATGGGGGAAAGGGTTGCACAGACTTAGTCAGGCATCAAGGTTGTATATCAAGCAATAAAGGGTCGGGAGGGGGGACGTTCGCGTGAAAAATGTAACTCGTTCATTTGGTCCGCATCATCCATTGCTAAAGCAACAAGAAACTCTAGCTATCTACCGCTAGCTTTAGTGATTATAACAACAATCATGATGATTATTAGCAGCAGGATCAAATCTGAAGTTGTTTTGGTGACAAATGAGTAATCCCTTCCCAAGAGTATTGAATATCCTCTCAAAATTCTGATTTCGTATTGGATACATTCATTTTGAGGTTTGTTGGGGGTATTGAAAATTGCAGGGATGTGTATTCCTTCTACCAACCCCCAGTCACCAGCATTGCAGAGCCTCGCAAAATCCGCAGCCTAGTCGCGGGCCAGTGTTAGTGGGTCTTCACAGGTTCTGTTTTCAGGAGTTGATGATCAAATTCACTGGGTTGGGCATGGGAATCTGCAACGTGCTGGTACCATCACCTTGCAACATGACATGTGGTACTGTAGCTAGTCCCTTTCTCACTGAAATGAAGTGGAACACACCCTGAGATCATTATGCAACTATGGACGGCTCGAGCTGATGCCGGATGCTTCGGGTCTCCAATTCTGGGACCCCAGTTCACAGCGTAAATTCCCACCCGTTGCACAAATTCGAAGTTTTCATGTCTGAAAAATCCCAATCTGTAACAGAGCAAACCACTTCTCCCGGGTGGCATTCATTTCAATCTCTATTTGGGTGTTTCTCAAATTTAGCCCAAAACAATTGATTACCATATTAAAGCTCATTTTACGGGATTTTCCATGCTTCCTCATCTCACTTTCCACACATTTTGGCATGTTTTCCCATGGGATTTTGGCCACCCCAGCCCCCCGGGTGAACCCCCAGCCCCACCTGGGTGCTCTCGGTGGCTTCGCGCGTCTTCACCTTCAATTCCTCCTTGAGCTGCGCCACTTCGGCTTCCAAGTCCTCGTTGCGCTTCATGAGCTTCGCCATGGCCTGAAAGATCTGGAACTTTCCAGAGATTAATTCTGGGAACTAACATAGCTATGGCATCTATGGAACATTTAGCTTATTTATAGATGACTTACCTATGACTTACCTATGACTTACCTATGACAAAATTGTGATGTTCACTATATTTATACAAAATCACCAGATTTAGGAGGTAAATCATCTATTAAATAGGCCATGGTCCATAGTTGTGTTGAGTTACCAGAGGGTCTGTTGGAGACAGATATGGCGATTTTTTATAGATGACTTACCTCTGAAAAATGGTGATAGCTGCCATAGCTATGTTAGTTTTCCGGAGGGTATACATATCACTGGATATATCATGGGGACATAGAATGAGATCTTGAATGGCGTATATTATATATTATATATGATATATTATATATTACATATTACATATTATATATTATATGTTATACAAATCATATATTATATGTTATATAAACTATATATCATATATTATACAAATTATATATATATATATATTATATTATACAAATTATATATTATATATTATATATTACATATTATATATTATATATTATATATTATATATTACATATTATATATTATGATATTATTATTGTATTATATTATTATATTATTATATTATTATATTATCATATTATTATATTATTATATTATTATATTATTATATTACTATATTATTATATTATTATATTATTATATTACTATATTATTATATTATTATATTATTATATTATTATATTGTTATATTATTATATTGTTATATTATTATATTATATTATTACATTATTACATTATTATATTACTATATTATTACATTATTATATTCTTATATTATTATTATGGGATACAATGGGATATTAGATGTAACCCAACAATATGTATGTATGTATATATATATACATATATATCCGCCGACCCCGGCCGACGCAAGGGGGAGCGCGTAAGGGAAGAAGATGGAAATTAGGTGGTGCTTTGCTGTTTCGGAAGCGTTTCGAAACAGTAGGCCCAGCCATAATATTGTTTAGGCGATTCTGGGGGATTCGGCCGAAACAGCTGGCCCAGCTACCGGAGATTCTGGGGGATTCGGCTGAAACAGTTGGCCCAGCTAGGATTCTCGAAGTAGGATCTAAACTAGGATCTAGATCTAGATCTAGGATTCTCTAGGATTTCAGAAGAGACGTTAGGCAGGTTTCTGTAATATTGTTTAGGCGATTCTAGGGATTCGGCCGAAACAGCTGGCCTAGCTACCGGAGATTCTGAGGGATTCGGCTGAAACGGCTGGCCCAGCTAGGATTCTCGAACTAGGATCTAAACTAGGATCTGGATCTAGATCTAGGATCTGGATCTAGATCTAGGATTCTCTAGGATTTCAGAAGGGACGTTAGGTAGTTTTCTGCCGCGATTTTTCGTTATTTTCGGCACGAAATTAGGTGGTGTTTTGCTGTTTCGGAACCGCTTCGAAACAGCAGGCCTAGCTGTAATATTGTTTAGGAGATTCTGGGGGATTCGGCCGAAGCAGCTGGCCTAGCAAGGATTCCCGAAGCCGCGATTTTTCGTTATTTTCGGCACGAAATTAGGTGGTGTTTTGCTGTTTCGGAACCGCTTCGAAACAGCAGGCCTAGCTGTAATATTGTTTAGGAGATTCTGGGGGATTCGGCCGAAGCAGCTGGCCTAGCAAGGATTCCCGAACTAGGATCTAGATCTAGATCTAGGAATCTAGGATAGATCTAGAGATCTAGATCTAGGATTCTCTAGGATTTCAGAAGGGACGTTAGGCACTTTTTTGGCGTGGTTTTGGAACTAGTTCGTCCTTCAGAGCCATGGTGTTTTCCTGCCGGGAGCTGCTTTTATGCTTTTTTCGAAGTTGTTTTCGGAAAAAGGTTGTTTTTCTAGGATTTCAGAAGGGACGTTAGGCACTTTTTGGCGTGGTTTTGGAACTAGTTCGTCCTTCAGAGCCATGGTGTTTTCCTGCCGGGAGCTGCTTTTATGTTTTTTTCGAAGTTGTTTTCCTGCGAGCGGGCGCAGGCAACAGAAATTCTCGAAAAATTTTGTTTTTCTAGGATTTCAGACGGGACGTTAGGCACTTTTTTGGCGTGGTTTTGGAACTAGTTCGTCCTTCAGAGCCATGGTGTTTTCCTGCCGGGAGCTGCTTTTTTCGAAGTTGTTTTCCTGCGAGCGGCCGCAGGCAACAGAAATTCTCGAAAAATGTTGTTTTATGTTGTTTTATGTTGTTTTTCTAAGATTTCAGAAGGGACGTTAGGCACTTTTTTGGCGTGGTTTTGGAACTAGTTCGTCCTTCAGAGCCATGGTGTTTTCCTGCCGGGAGCTGCTTTTATGTTTTTTTCGAAGTTGTTTTCCTGCGAGCGGGCGCAGGCAACAGAAATTCTCGAAAAAGGTTGTTTTTCTAGGATTTCAGACGGGACGTTAGGCACTTTTTTGGCGTGGTTTTAGAACTAGTTCGTCCTTCAGAGCCATGGTGTTTTCCTGCCGGGAGCTGCTTTTATGCTTTTTTCGAAGTTGTTTTCGGAAAAAGGTTGTTTTCTAGGATTTCAGAAGGGACGTTAGGCACTTTTTTGGCGTGGTTTTGGAACTAGTTCGTCCTTCAGAGCCATGGTGTTTTCCTGCCGGGAGCTGCTTTTTTCGCAGTTGTTTTCCTGCGAGCGGCCGCAGGCAACAGAAATTCTCGAAAAAGGTTGTTTCTCTAGGATTTCAGACGGGACGTTAGGTTGTTTTTCTAGGATGTCAGACGGGACGTTAGGTACTTTTTTGGCGTGGTTTTGGAACTAGTTCGTCCTTCAGAGCCATGGTGTTTTCCTGCCGGGAGCTGCTTTTTTCGCAGTTGTTTTCCTGCGAGCGGCCGCAGGCAATAGAAATTCTCGAAAAAGGTTGTTTTTCTAGGATTTCAGACGGGACGTTAGGCACTTTTTTGGCGTGGTTTTGGAACTAGCTCGTCCTTCTGAGCCATGGTGTTTTCCTGCCGGGAGCTGCTTTTTTCGAAGTTGTTTTCCTGCGAAAAAAGTTGTTCGTCCTTCAGAGCCATGGTGTTTTCCTGCCGGGAGCTGCTTTTATGCTTTTTTCGAAGTTGTTTTCGGAAAAAGGTTGTTTTTCTAGGATTTCAGAAGGGACGTTAGGCACTTTTTTGGCGTGGTTTTGGAACTAGTTCGTCCTTCAGAGCCATGGTGTTTTCCTGCCGGGAGCTACTTTTATGTTTTTTTCGAAGTTGTTTTCCTGCGAGCGGGCGCAGGCAACAGAAATTCTCGAAAAATGTTGTTTTTCTAGGATTTCAGACGGGACGTTAGGCACTTTTTTGGCGTGGTTTTGGAACTAGTTCGTCCTTCAGAGCCATGGTGTTTTCCTGCCGGGAGCTGCTTTTTTCGAAGTTGTTTTCCTGCGAGCGGCCGCAGGCAACAGAAATTCTCGAAAAATGTTGTTTTATGTTGTTTTATGTTGTTTTTCTATGTTGTTTTATGTTGTTTTTCTAGGATTTCAGAAGAGACGTTAGGCACTTTTTTGGCGTGGTTTTGGAACTAGTTCGTCCTTCAGAGCCATGGTGTTTTCCTGCCGGGAGCTGCTTTTATGTTTTTTTCGAAGTTGTTTTCCTGCGAGCGGGCGCAGGCAACAGAAATTCTCGAAAAAGGTTGTTTTTCTAGGATTTCAAAAGGGACGTTAGGCACTTTTTTGGCGTGGTTTTGGAACTAGTTCGTCCTTCAGAGCCATGGTGTTTTCCTGCCGGGAGCTGCTTTTTTCGAAGTTGTTTTCCTGCGAGCGGCCGCAGGCAACAGAAATTCTCGAAAAATGTTGTTTTTCTAGGATTTCAGACGGGACGTTAGGTACTTTTTTGGCGTGGTTTTGGAACTAGTTCGTCCTTCAGAGCCATGGTGTTTTCCTGCCGGGAGCTGCTTTTTGTCGCAGTTGTTTTCCTGCGAGCGGCCGCAGGCAACAGAAATTCTCGAAAAATGTTGTTTTTCTAGGTTTTCAGACGGGACGTTAGGCACTTTTTTGGCGTGGTTTTGGAACTAGCTCGTCCTTCAGAGCCATGGTGTTTTCCTGCCGGGAGCTGCTTTTTTCGAAGTTGTTTTCCTGCGAAAAAGGTTGTTTTTCTAGGATTTCAGACAGGACGTTAGGCACTTTTTTGGCGTGGTTGTGGAACTAGTTCGTCCTTCAGAGCCATTGTGTTTTCCTGCCGGGAGCTGCTTTTTTCGAAGTTGTTTTCCTGCGAGCGGCCGCAGGCAACAGAAATTCTCGAAAAATGTTGTTTTTCTAGGATTTCAGAAGGGACGTTAGGCACTTTTTTAGCGTGGTTTTGGAACTAGTTCGTCCTTCAGAGCCATGGTGTTTTCCTGCCGGGAGCTGCTTTTTTCGAAGTTGTTTTCCTGCAAGCGGCCGCAGGCAACAGAAATTCTCGAAAAAAGTTGTTTTTCTGGGATTTCAGACGGGACCGGCGGACGCAAAGGGGAGCTGCCCGCAGGCAGCAGCAGGCAGCAGGCAGCAGCAGGCAGCAGCAGACACAAGCAGACGCAGCAGCAGTAAGCGCAATGGTAGCAGTGCAGCAGCTAGCAGCACGAAAAATTGTGTTTTTCTAGGATGGCACTAATGGGTGTCAAGAACGTGGGCAAGAGCACGCAAGAGGTGCACATAGCCAGTAGCTAGCAGCCAGCGCCAGTAGCAGCCAGCAGCCAGTAGCCAGCAGCCTACCAAAAATCTAATCTAGATTTTTCTAGGATTTCAGACGACACGTTAGGCACTTTTTTGGCGTGGTTCTGGCACTCGCTCGTCCTTCAGAGCCCTGGTGTTTTCCCCCCCGGGAGGTGATTTTTTCGAAGTTGTTTTCCTGCGAGCGGCCGCAGGCAACAGAAATTCTCGAAAAAGGTTGTTTTTTCTAGGATTTCAGACGGGACGTTAGGCACTTTTTTGGCGTGGTTTTAGAACTAGTTCGTCCTTCAGAGCCATGGTGTTTTCCTGCCGGGAGCTGCTTTTATGCTTTTTTCGAAAT